TCTGATTGGCTGTGTGTCTCTGTCCTGTGCTCTGATTGGCTGTGTCTCTGTCCTGTGCTCTGATTGGCTGTGTGTCTCTGTCCTGTGCTCTGATTGGCTGTGTCTCTGTCCTGTGCTCTGATTGGCTGTGTGTCTCTGTCCTGTGCTCTGATTGGCTGTGTGTGTTTAGGGTCAGGAGGGCCTCAGTCCTGTGGTGCCGGGGCCCCGGGGCCAAAAGGTGAGTCCAACATCCAACATACATCTGTGATGATGATGTCACACACACGATGATGTCACACACACGATGATGTCACACACACGATGATGTCACACACGATGATGTCACACACATGATGATGATGTCACACACACACGATGATGTCACACACATGATGATGATGTCACACACACACACGATGATGTCACACCCGATGATGTCACACACAAGATGATGATGTCACACACGATGATATCACACACAATGATGTCACACACACGATGATGATGTCACACACAATGATGTCACACACACACGATGATGTCACACACGATGATGTCACACACAAGATGATGATGTCACACACGATGATATCACACACAATGATGTCACACACACGATGATGATGTCACACACAATGATGTCACACACAAGATGATGATGTCACACACGATGATGTCACACACACGAAGTTGTCACATGTCATGTGTGTGTGCTGTTGTTGCAGGGGGAGCGAGGGCCCCCAGGGGCCCCAGGAAAAAAGGGCATCAAACTGTACGCCACCGGCATCCAAGAACTAAAGGTCTGAACCACAAACATCTGACCCCTGTGACCTCTGACCCCTGTGACCTCTGTCCCCTGTGACCTCTGACCCCTCTCACACAGTTGTTTGTGTTTCAGGGAGAACCAGGTGACCCCGGCCTCAAAGGCTGCAGGGGCGACAGAGTGAGTACTGCTCCACATGTTCCACATGTTCCACATGTTCCACGTGTTCCACATGTTCTACATGTTCCACATGTTCTACGTGTTCCACATGTTCTACGTGTTCCACATACGTGTTCCACATGTTCCACATGTTCTACATGTTCCACATGTTCCACATTTGGAATGAGTCTCAAAACGTTCTAAAACAGCCACAATAAAAGAACAAATGTCCAACAGTTTCTGTTTCTCTGTCACCAAATGTTTTTAGTCTCCACATTAAAACGTTTCTTCAGAAAGTCGTTACAGGAGAAAATCTTTTCAGATCTTACAGTGAGTTTCTTTGTTTTTTTGGTTTTAGGAGAGATTGGAAATGAAAGCTCGTTTGTTTTAATCTTCTTCACTGGGTTTTACCCGGAATGTCTTTTTGAGGTGTTTACTGGAGATTCTGATGCCTGTGGTCTGGTCACGCAGTCGTGATCCTTTTTCCATCCATTATTTTTGTTCGCTTTGATTTTCAACACAATTCTTTACCTTTTTCAGTCCAAACAAGTCTTTGTTTTACTCTTGTATGTGTCAGACCAACCTCTGTGTTGTGAAAGTTTGTTCTTTATGTCGCTGTTTTGAGGAACTTTGCTCAGACCTTTGAAAAGTTTCTCCTGCTCAGTTCATCATCTGTTCAAAGTCCCGCCGCACCGATTCTTCTAACAGTGATTCTGTCGTTTCAGGGAACTCAGGGAAATGTTGGACCTAAAGGACAAAAGGGTGAGCCAGGAGACCCTGGACCTGAGGTATGTGGACCTGCTTTAGACCTGCTTTAGACCTGGTTTAGACCTTAGTCTGATTCTGTTTTTTTTGTTTCAGGGGAAAGATGGAAAACCTGGATATCCTGGAGAACTGGGCCAACAAGTGAGTCTCAAACAAGTTTAGTCCTGGTTTAGTCCTGGTTTAGTCCTGGTCACAGACTGTGTTGTTTCAGGGAGACCCTGGTCGTCCTGGAGACTTTGGCCCTGCAGGGATCCCCGGAGCTCAAGTAAAACTATTTATTGTTATTATTATTATTAAGCTCCTGTATCCCACAAACTGAGTCTGACCTATTTATTTATTTATTTATTTATGTATTTATTTGGGTCACAGTTTTATTTTGACATAATTTCACAGTCATATTTAACACACACAGAGTGAAAAGGTGCTGGCTGAAGCTGAAGTTTCTTTTGCCTTTACCTTTTATTCCTTTATCAGAGCTTCATCTTGACACCAGTTCATCTTCATAAACACAACAAGAAGAAACGAACAAATCAGAAACAGAACAACAAAGTTCTACAGCACAAACTCAGTCTCATATTTCATGTTTCTGTCCAGAGTGAAACATTTAAACTTCTTTATAAAGTGAAAGAGTTTGGTGCACAGTTCAGTTGTTCCACAGCTCCAGCCCTTTAACACATTTACAACATTTCGTAAAATTTGTTCACATTTTCTTTTGGATAAACGTGTCTGTGTCTCTGAGCTCAGATCGGCTTTTTCAGAATTTGAACATGTTCTGTAAAGATTTTGACAGGAGATTATTGTTTATTTGAACATGATTTTCAGAGTATAAAGGTCAACTGAATCCTAACATTTCAGAGTTTGAAGGTTTATAAATAACACATTGGTTGATTCATTATAAGTTGATCTTGTGACGCTCTTATTGTCTTTTTTTGGATTTGTATTAGTTTTATAAATATTGCCCCAAATCTCAGTACAGTCGGTTCTGTCGAGCATCAGCAGAGAGTTATATAGAATAAAAAGACTGTTTTTATCCAGGATATATCTATATTTGGATATAACTGCGATCACTTTGGATAATTTATTTCAAATTTTATTTAAGTGTGATTTCCAGTTTAAATGATGATCTATAGTTGCTCCTAAAAAGTTATTTTGACTCTTTCTCGTGGTGTATTATTGAGCATCATTTGTACAGGATTTTGTACTTTTCGTTTTGCAAATATCATAATTTTAGTTTTTTCTATGTTTAGCAACAATTTATTAAAATCAAACCAGACTTTAATTTTCTGTAGCTTCTTCTCCACCATCTGAAAAAGTTCCTTTGGTCTTCACCTGAGCAGCAGAAGCTGGTCTCATCTGTGAAGACGACATCACTGAACGGTTTTGTAGATAGTTTTGTTACCGCACATGCACAGGTCCTCACAGTCCACACCTTTTTCATTTCTGCAGTATCAAATTATGATCGAGGGTTTCAAAAGTTTTCTTTAGGTCATTAAAGATACACACACTCTATTTCTTTGAGTCAACTGCTGTAGATACATTTTCTACCAATTCCATAACGGTCAATGAGGTGGAATGATTTTTCCTGAATCACTTAGGAGCTCATGTTTTTCTATCAGTTTATCTAATTGATGAACAAATATTTTTTCTATTATTTCTGAGAATTGAGACACAAACAGCCCTGGACTTGTGTTTTGTCTCTTTAGGTCCTTACATTCTCTTCACTCCGCTGGGGTGAAATGTTTATTTGTTTATAGTTTTTATTGCGGCCCAAAGTTTCTCCCACACGCCGCGGCGGGTAAAACACTGAGGACACGTAACTCGGGACAAATGCACGGTTACGCACGGTTATGCACAGTTACGCACGGTTACGCATGCTCCCAGGCCTGCCTACGTTCAGTTACACACAAGTTAAAGTACAACTAAAGCATTTACACATACTGCAGTACTTCCAAGAGACACTCACACACGCTGAGCTGCATTCACACTCAGAAGGAGCAGGGAAAACCCCAGGCAAAGTTTACTGCGCGAGGATGATACAGAGGGAAGTTTGGAAGACCCCACACCAACTCTGGACCTCCTGTCGCCACGTCACCTCCAGGCAGAATCTAAGAATTGTATCTGAGCTCACGAGTCAAAGGAAGTCGATGTATCTCCACGAGTCTGATTCAGATGCAGCGAACGCCGAGGAGGGGAATGATGAAGATGTGGAGATGGTGATGGAGCAGCTGGATGATTTAAAGCAGAGGGTCGGTGGCCTGGAGGTCCAACTCAAAGAAGCTGTGGACAGAACTTTATCCAGAGAGGAAGGACTAAGAGCAGCTATGGACCGTACGGCCAGAGAGCTGAAAGAGTATGTGGACTCTAAGCTGCAACATTTTGATGAGGTGGTCGCAGCTTGCCTCCAGCGCAGAGATCAGAGATGAGCAGAAGCTCAGGTCCAATGTCCAGGCCCCACATCAGTGTTTGAGAGACTTCACATACGACCATCACACACTCTGTTTAAAGTGGAGGCTGGACATGCAGGAGGGTGAGATTATACACCACATCCTCAGCGCCTGTAATCCCAGACTGGCCAGTGGGCTCCGCGGCACCGTCACCACCGTGGAGCAGCTGGTGAAGGTGGACTCTCTCATCGAAAAGGACTGGAGCAACACAAAGGAATATTGGAGCCGGGTCCAGCAGTCACATCCTCCTAAAAGCGCTGGCAAAAAGACAGACCAAGGCCCAAGTCGAAGTTCTGGTGCCGATCTAGCCTCTGCTATGGGCGAGCCGTCCCTCCTGGTCGTCCCCGTCCGCCTCCGTGGGTCCAAAGGGGACGCTGTCCTCGACTCAGGCTGCACCTGGTCCCTCATGAGCCTCTCGCTGTGAAACGCAGTCAAAAAAGAAGAAGTACTGGCCCCAAGTGAGAAGTTTGTCATGGCCAACAGGCAAGAAAACAAAGCGCTCGGAAAGGCCACGCTGCTCCTCAAACTGTACGACTTCCATGGCACTCTCGGAGTTCATGTACTGGCCGACGACGACCTGTGCAGGACGTTTAGAGCTGGAGTCGGGGGGTGTTTCTGGAGTACGAGGTTGTACTTTTTAAACTGTTTCTGTTTCGGTGAGTTCACTTTTGGATAAGTTGCATAGCAATTTGTTGTTATGTGTGTGGAGTTTAAAAACACAGTGGAGCATTTCCTGTGTCACCACATGATGACATCACAAGGTGAAACAGAGTGTTTCCAGTCTGAGAGTAGAACTCGTGGTAAATGTGCAGGTTTGTGAGAAACATGTGAATGAAACAAAACCAGGAAACCACATCAGAGCCGAGGATTATGGGACATGTAGGCAACTTTTAAAAGAACTCAACCCCCTTTTCCTCTCGCTCCTCTGACCCGGTCCTGGTCTGGTCCTGGTCTGGTTTGGTCTGGTCTGGTCTGGTCCTGGTCCGGTCCTGGTCCTGATCTGGTCCTGATCTGGTCTGGTTTGGTCCTGATCTGGTCCTGGTCTGGTCCTGATCTGGTCCTGGTCTGGTCCTGATCTAGTCCTGGTCTGGTCTGGTCCTGGTCCTGGTTTAGTCCTGATCTGTTCCTGGTCTGGTCTGGTCCTGGTCTGGTCTGATTTGGTCCTGATCTGGTCCTGGTCTGGTCCTGATCTGGTCCTGGTCTGGTCTGGTCCTGGTCCTGGTTTGGTCCTGATCTGGTCCTGGTCTGGTCCTGATCTGGTCCTGGTTTAGTCCTGATCTGGTCCTGGTTTAGTCCTGATCTGGTCCTGGTCTGGTCTGGTCCTGGTCCTGGTTTAGTCCTGATCTGGTCCTGGTCTGGTCCTGGTCCTGGTTTAGTCCTGATCTGGTCCTGGTCTGGTCCTGGTCCTGGTTTAGTCCTAATCTGGTCCTGATCTGGTCCTGGTCCTGGTTTAGTCCTGATCTGGTCCTGGTCTGGTCCTGGTCCTGGTTTAATCCTGATCTGGTCCTGGTTTAGTCCTGATCTGGTCCTGGTCTGGTCTGGTCCTGGTCCTGGTTTAGTCCTGATCTGGTCCTGGTCTGGTCCTGGTCCTGGTTTAGTCCTGATCTGGTCCTGGTCTGGTTTGGTCCTGGTCTGGTCCTGATCTGGTCCTGGTCTGGTCTGGTCCTGGTCCTGGTTTAGTCCTGATCTGGTCTTGGTCTGGTCCTGGTCCTGGTCTGGTCTGGTCCTGGTCCTGGTTTAGTCCTGATCTGGTCCTGGTCTGGTTTGGTCCTGGTCTGGTCCTGATCTGGTCCTGGTCTGGTCTGATCCTGGTCCTGGTTTGATCCTGATTTGGTTCTGGTTCTGATCCTGGTCTTGGTTCTGGTCTTTCAGGGTGAGAAGGGCGAGCGTGGAGCTGTGGGAGCTCCAGGACAGGTGAGTGTGTGTGTTGTGTGTTTGTGTGTTTGTGTGTGTTTGTGTGTTTTTGTTGTGTGTTTGTTTTGTGTGTGTTTGTTGTGTGTTTGTGTGTGTTTTTGTTGTGTGTTTGTTTTGTGTGTGTTTGTTGTGTGTTTGTGTTTGTTGTGTGTGTGTTTGTTGTGTGTGTGTTTGTTGTGTGTGTGTGTTTGTTGTGTTGTGTGTTTGTTGTGTGTTTGTGTTTGTTGTGTGTTTGTGTGTTTGTTTTGTGTGTGTTTGTTGTGTGTTTGTGTTTGTTGTGTGTTTGTGTGTTTTTGTTGTGTGTTTGTTGTGTGTTTGTGTTTGTTGTGTGTGTGTTTGTGTTTGTTGTGTGTTTGTTGTGTGTGTTGTGTGTATTTCTGCTCTTACAGTTGTGTGTTTGTTGTGTGTTTGTGTTTGTTGTGTGTTGTTGTGTGTTTGTTGTGTGTTTGTGTGTATTTCTGCTGTTACAGTTGTGTGTTTGTTGTGTGTGTGTTTGTTCTGTGTGTGTTGTGTGTTTGTTGTGTGTTTGTGTTTGTTCTGTGTGTGTTGTGTGTTTGTTGTGTGTTTGTGTGTATTTCTGCTCTTACAGTTGTGTGTTTGTTGTGTGTGTGTTTGTTGTGTGTTTGTGTGTGTGTGTTTGTTGTGTGTTTGTGTGTGTGTGTTTGTGTGTGTTGTGTGTGTGTGTTTGTTGTGTGTGTGTGTTTGTGTGTGTGTTGTTGTGTGTTTGTTGTGTGTGTGTGTTGTGTGTTTGTGTGTTTGTGTGTTGTGTGTGTTGTGTGTTTGTGTTTGTTGTGTGTTTGTGTGTATTTCTGCTGTTACAGTTGTGTGTTTGTTGTGTGTTTGTGTGTATTTCCGCTCTTACAGTTGTGTTTTTGTTGTGTGTTTGTGTGTGTGTGTTTGTTGTGTGTTGTTTGTGTTTGTTTGTGTGTTGTGTTTGTGTGTTTGTGTGTGTGTTTGTTGTGTGTTTGTGTTTGTGTGTTTGTTGTGTGTTTGTGTTGTTGTGTGTTTGTTGTGTGTTTGTTGTGTGTGTTGTGTGTTTGTTGTGTGTTTTGTGTGTGTGTTGTGTGTTTGTTGTGTGTTTGTTGTGTGTTTGTGTGTGTGTTTGTTTGTGTGTTTGTTGTGTGTATTTCCGCTCTTACAGTTGTGTGTTGTTGTGTGTGTTTGTTGTGTGTTGTGTGTTTGTTGTGTGTTTGTTGTTGTGTGTTTGTTGTGTGTGTTGTGTGTTGTGTGTTTCCGCTCTTACAGTTGTGTGTTTGTTGTGTGTTTGTGTTTGTTGTGTTGTTGTGTTTGTGTGTTTGTTGTGTGTTGTGTGTTTGTTTGTTGTGTTGTGTGTTTGTGTGTGTGTGTGTGTTTGTGTGTGTTGTGTGTGTGTTGTGTTTGTTGTGTGTTTGTGTGTGTTTGTTGTGTGTGATTTCCGCTCTTACAGTTGTGTGTTTGTTGTGTGTTTGTGTGTGTTTTGTGTGTTTGTTGTGTGTG